TTTGGTGTATGTCTTTCCATTTATGGCATATCTATGCACACACAAGAGCATTTAGAGATCTATAGCCTTTTTTAAACATTTATGAACATTTCCCTTGTCATTAAAAATCGAGAATATAAGTTTTTATCATCTGCCATATGTTTATACCACAATTCATTTCTTATCCTAAATTTTCATCTAAAGTTAATTTGAAATGTAATTATCTTATTCTAAATAAAGATCTTATAAAAATGAATGCTGACCTTAGAGTAGAAGTGTATGCTTGCCTGTGGAGTATAATTGTTGGCAAAGCAGACCTTGAGCAAAGACAAAGAGGCAAGAACATTTTAATTAACTGATCTAGGCCTGATTTTTGATGTTGGACAAAATCATAGAAGTGCAGTATATTAGAGATGGGAGAGGATCCTTGGAAATCGTTATTTCAAAGATAGGAAACTAAAGCCCATTAAAGTTATATATCCCTACACCAGAACCAGACATTAATTCTACCACTTTTACTATTTATTTATACATTATTTCTCCACACAGTTTGCAAAATAAACTACTTGAGTAGATCTGAAGTAGAATATTCTGGAGGAACAGGAAGTTAAGAAGTCCCACGCGGGACCATTGCCCAGAAGTGGTCCTATGCTCTTACACACATAGGACCACGTTAGAGATCTGCCTAACTAAGCTCAGTGCCTTACCTTTCAGAAGAGGATGATGAAAAGTCAGATAGTGAGGGCGGAGACCTGGATAAACAGATGGGCGATCTCAATGGTGAGGAAGCTGACAAACTTGATGAGAGGCTTTGGGGTGATGACGAGGAGGAAGAAGAGGAGGAAGAAGACAATAAAACTGAAGAAACAGGACCAGGAATGGATGAGGTAATTAAGATTCCTGCATCCCAAAGTTCTTAGGCCAAGAAGACGTGCTCTTCCCAACACCTGCCACTCCGTGCTTTTTCTTTTCATTTTCTCTTTCTTCCATCCTCTTTTACTTTTTTTTTCCTCTTAACATATTGTATTTAGAGCTTGACCCAAGTCATCTTGTGTTATGGAGGAAGGAAATAAAGAAGATCGGTGCAGATCCTCTAAGCTGATTCTCCTATCTATCTCTGAATTTCTCCAGCTCCCAGTTTAGGGGAATTATAGGGCTGCATATAACACTGTAGTACAGATTGTGATGCATCTAATTATTATACTCACCATTGACACACTAGTATTCTTGCTGCTGTCTGGAAAGATTGGATTCTTCTCCAGATCTGTGGGGTGGAAATTAGTCATATCTAAGGGCTACATTGGGGAGGATTCAACCATGTAAAAGCAGTTTCTTGGATTGAGTATGATGATTTTGGTTTTTTTCTTCTTTTGATATTTAGGAAGACTCTGAACTTGTTGCTAAAGATGACAACTTGGATGCTGGGAATTTGAACAAAGATGAAAAACAGAAAAATAAGAAAGAAGAAAAGGAAGAAGCAGGATCCAATGAGGAGGGACAAGGCCAAGATAAAATTAATGAACAAATAGATGAGGTAAAAAGGATCTGAAATTGCTCTGTTCCCCTGACTTTAAGACCAAGGCCCCTCAGAGCACTACAACGTTCTTGGGAGTATTTTATGACAGTTTTTCCTATTCATTAATTGCTCTCCCCTTGCTGCATTAAAGAAATGTACAACAAAGGCTCTTAGCAGGACACAAAATACTAATAGTTGGTTACTGACAAGGCCGTCTATATGCTGTTTGGGTTCATGCTGTAGTTTGGAAGCTAAAACCTGTAATTCTTTTCTTATTTCTTCTCACAAGTTTCTGTTTTGAGATTGAGTAACACTGGGCCTATTATCCTTAGAAATCCTAACAGAAGGTGAAATTTTAAATTCTAACATGAATGGTCTAAAAATATTAAAATACTAAAGTATGCTAATAATTATAGGGAAGGAAAGACATTGTGTTATTCTTATGGTGTAGTATAAATAGAGCTAATTTTATGTGCATTACTGTTTTTTAGTCCTTTTTTCTCCTTGTTCTTTTTATTGCTCAAAGAGAGAATATGATGAAAATGAAGTGGACCCTTACCATGGCAATCAGGAAAAGCTGCCAGAACCTGAGGCTCTGGACCTTCCAGATGACTTGAATCTTGACAGTGAAGACAAGAATGGTAGTGAAGATACAGACAATGAGGAAGCAGAAGGTGCGTCTTTCCTGCAAAGCCAGTTGGAAATCATTATCATTGACAGCAATAACTGATTTCAGAGAGCTAGCTAAGTGTCATAGCCTATTGATAAGTATTGTTTGATCAGCTTAGTCCCAATTTGAGAAAATTATTGACTTTTTTCTTTGTAGTATTTCTCATGTGGGTAGACCTACAGTTCATAAACCAACAGATTTTGCTGCTATTATTTTTTGTCTTATTTTGGTAATACTGCATGCACCCTGGGGGTGCTTTGCCACACACATTACTCTCTCTCCAAAGACATTACCATGTTTGCCATCTTGTGAGTGGATGTAAACATTCTGCAGTCTCGTTATACCCAGACCTCTCATGTAGCCCAGTTATAGTTCTTTGAGGGATATGATGGTGTTATTGACTGTCATGTGTTTATTCTAAAATATGAGGTCATTATAATATGGAATAAGACTAAATAATCTAAAGAAAATCACATGACAGTAATCTAGTGTCTCCCTTGCCAATTTTTTATTTTATTTTATTTTATTTTATTTTATTTTGTTTTTAAGAGAGAGTGAGAGAGGAGAGAGAG